GGTTCAAGTTCACCCGTAGGCACGTTTGGAAGAAAGGCTTGGTGATTGGATATGGGAAAGTCTGTCACGGAAGATGCCGTCGAGCAAGTTTCTGCACTGATCAGGAGGTTGCTGTGTCATTGGTTTGACGGTAGCTGAATTTAGGAGTCGCTGGAGAAAAAGGAGAAGCCTCTTTCAACCACAAAACAAGTGAATACATCGCCTTAACCAAATAATAGCATTTCCACAGCAAACTATGCACAGGCAGATAAAAATGAGATTTGATTTTCGTGTGTGTGTGGAGAAAATACTAGAAGTGGTTACTCGTTCTGAAATGCTTCTACATGACAGCGGCCAGGCAAACACAACACCCACAAGTAGCGTCCGCTCAGATCCCAGGTGTGGTAAAGCGCAGGTTCTTTGTTTCCAGAACATTCTCAGGCTCAGTGGGGAAGAAGTTTGGCTTTTGTGCTAATGGTTAGGGGTTGGGAGCCTCTTGTTTAAAACAGTTTTCTATATCACACACAAATACATTTTATTCCCTAGATGTCCTGGGTTCAGTCCCAAGCCACTGCAGTAATGCTGTTGTTATAATCAAGTGAGTCACACAGACTTTTCTGGTGCCTCCGTGCACATGATAGGTGTCTGCCCTCCACTGCACTCTGAAGCATGTAACAGCACAATGAAAAAGTTTACAATATTATGAGAACGGCAAAATAGGACACAGAGACAAGAAGGGAGTGCATGCTGTTGGACGAATGACACTGACAGCCTTGCCCAGCACAGACCTTCAGTTTGTAAAATATATGCTGTCTGGCCAGCGTGGTAAAGCCAAGTGGAATAGAATGAGGCCAGCCCTCAGAGGTTAGAGCTACTGATGAGCTTGAATGGGAAAGTCTGTCTGGAGAGGGGACCCCAGGGACTTCAGTCACCAAGGATCTCAAGCTGGGCTTTGAAAGTTGCCCTGTTACTTCCCACATGCTGGAGAACATTGCAAGTGCACCCAGGGCCAGCAATAAGATGCAAAAGGACTTTATGTTGAATACGAGACTGTGTGCCAGGAAGTTTAGTACATGTGTCAGGGGTACCTGGACACACATCCCTGCCCTGTGGGTCCCTCCTCTCCTAGGGACGTCCAGTTAGTCACAGCTTTGCCATCTTATCTGGGACGTTCAGAACCGAGCTGCTCTCTTTCTCTAACAGTTCACGCTTAACAGCAAACTGCCGTCCTTAGTTGCTTTTCATAAAAAGGAGTCAGAGGAATAGGCTGAGCGTCTGTCTTCCTCCCTCAGAGTCCTTGACAGGTTCCTCAGCATTTGGAGAGAGAGAGCACATGCTGCTTTAAAAAAAAAAGTCTAGGGACACATGCTTTTTTAAAAAAATATTCTTTTTATTTTATTACATGCTTTTATTTGTTTAGTGTTAATTGATTTTTGGTCAGAAGATGATGTCATAGACCAGGTGAGGTAAACTTTGTGTTCCTGGTGGATTCTGAGTCAGGCAGCAGCCTCTTTGTAATACCTTCTTTCCAATTATTTTCAAAGTAATTTTGTCAGAGTGAAGTGAAATTAATTTTAAAGTGACCAGTGCTATATTATAAACTATTTTTGCTTTCATATAACATATTGAGACATGAAAGTGAGAATTTTTGTTGTGATTTGAGCAAAAGTTTAAAGAGTGGGTTTTCCACTCAACTATTCATTCACTTTTTGTTTTAGGATGTTAATTACAATCCCAGCATTGTAACAGCGTTCTTCCCACTTCTTCTGTGTGAGTCTCCTTTCCACGTATCCTTTTGTTCTCCCCTTCTTGCCTTCTGAGCTTTGTCCCTGCGAAGATTACCGTCTTTTTGATCTTGTGTGGTTAATTGTTCTCAAGACTAAGTGCTTCTCTAGTATTACTGATTACCTCACAGATCTGTTTATTCTTGGAATGAAAGTTGGGCCATAGATATAAGTCTGATTTCATCTCAAAGGGTGACTAGAGAGAGGTATCTCTGGGGTTGTGTGTGTACAAGTGAGAATCTCAAGGGTAGGATAAACAGGAGAGAATTGTTGCAGATGTTTGTGAGGTCGGTCGGTCTGTCTATCTGTGTCTGTCTGTCTGTCTGTCTGTCTATCCATCTATCCATCCATCCACCCACCCAACCAGCCATCCATCCACCCACCCATCCACACATGGTCTGAGCATGAAGCAGACAGAGCTTGTCCCTTTTAGAGGCAAAGCACATTGGAAGCCTGAGATGGGGAGTGCTCGTAAACCCCTTGAGTTCAGTTGGAGAGTTTAGTCGTGACTCTGGCTTCAGTCCATTTCTCCCTCCCTTCCATGTGAGTCACATGTCTGTTGAGTCAGCACGCTGCATGTGGAGAGCAGGCCTGTGCCGCGTGTCTGTCCAGACCGTGGTCCACATATCTGTCCAGGTCGTGGTCTTCCAGAAGCAGATCACTAGGCCTTTCTTCAGAGGCACCTCTAGGTGGATCCGAACCACCAAACTTTGGGTTAGTAATCAAGTACTTAATTGATTGCACCACCAGGAGCTCATTATTGCAATGTCCAAACCCAGACCCACTGCCATCGAGTAGGTTCTGGCCATAGCTGTCCTCTACTGAGCTTCCAAGACTTCCCACCTTTCTTCTGCCGTGAGGCGATGGATTTGAACTATCTTTCCACCCTTTATTTCCTGGGATGATGTGATAGCGATGTATGGCTACTTACAGTGCTGAAGGACTAGGACACAAGGATTGGTGAACATGAGAATCAAAGGGAAGAAGCAGGAAGGGCATGGTTTTATCTTAGGGATTTAATGCCCTAAAATAAAATGTGTGTGAATGGTTGACTGGAAATCCACTGTGCTCTGTAAACTTTCAGATCACATTAAAAGTAAACCCCTGAGAGCTGCAACATGAGTAGATCTATCCACATCTGTGTTGGTTGTTGTTGTGTACCATAGAGTCAGAATCGATCCACAGCTGACCCTCCAGTGGGTTTTCAGAGGCGTTTAATCACAGGCGGTTAATCACATGGTGGAGACTGCCCATCCTTCTCCTGAGGGGCAGCTGGTGGATTTGAATCACGTGCCTTCAGGATTGCAGCGTAGCTTCTGGCCAGTAGGACACCAGTGCACACTACACCTGTGTTTATTGTAGCATTATTCACAATAGTATAGAGAGGTAAACAGATGAGGGAGAGAATGGTTTAAAAGCAATATATGAAGGTTGAATAGTGTAGTATACTCTGTGTGTGTGTGTGTGTGTGTGTGTGTGTGTGTGTGTGTTTGAAATTATATACCAATGAAGGAATTTTACTTTTCAAAGAGAAGAGCGAACTGGGCAGGGGGGAGGGTTGGACAGGGAGAAAAATGCAACAATGAATGAATGGAAATCGAAAATTTTTGTATATGTTCATTAAAATTAATAAAATAAAATGAAAAAAAAAGAGGGAGGCAAACAACCCCTGTCCCATGGTGAAGAAATGAATAAAGAAACTATGGTACATTTACACAGCAGAGTACTATGCAACTTTGAAAACAATAAAGAATTGACAAAATACTGTGCAACATGAATGAATCCGTAGGACACAATGCTGTGTGAAATATATCAGTCACAAAAGGACGAATACAGTTATTACCATGGACTGCCAAGAAAACAAACAGTTCATTCTAGAGAGGGTTAAACCAGTCTGCTCCTTCGAGGCAAGGATTCTGGGGCTTCGTCTGACATACTTTGGACATGTTGAGGGAGAGGTCTTTAGAGAGGGACATCATGCTGGGTAGAGTAGAGGGACAGCACAGGAGTGGAAGACCCTCTATGAGGTGGATTGATTCGGTGACTGGGATAATTGGGATGGGAGTGTCAGAGACAGTGCGATTGGCACAGGATAGAGCAGGGTTTAGGGCTGTTGTACATAGGGTCGCTATGAGTCGCAAACGACTCGACGGCACATAACAACAACAACAAAGAAAGGTTTATAGATCAGTAGGGTTAATGTAGCATGGTTACCAGGGAGAGGGGAGTAGAAACGAGGAAGTGAGTGATGGACACTTTGATGTGTGCGGGAGAAGACCGCATAGAGTGAATGGACACACAGACGCGGGTGTCGTGTCGGATGCTGTGGAACAGGGTGTGCTCAATTGACTGCTGGAAAAACCGAAATGCTTTGTCAGCTTGCGCGCAAATCCCACTAAAACATTATTTTAAAAAGGAGTTTTGAAGAAAAGGACAAGCACACAGAAGTTTCTTTCTGATCCCTCACTACCCGTCCTGAGTCCCCACCCCCCACCCCCGGCTGCCTCGGTTTTAAAGCGCTCCTTCATTTGACTGAAGTGTGAGTTGATAAGCTTCTTCTGGAGCCCTGGTGGTGCTGTGATTAAGGCATCCAATTGTTAACCCAGTAGTTGGTGGTTCAAATCCACCCACTGCTCTCTGGGAGAGAGCTAAGGAAGAGATGCAGGCTCTGAACCCCTGTGAGGCCAGCTCTCCTGCGTGCTGGTGGGTCACTGTGAGCCGGAGTCAGCTTGATGGCTGTGGGGTTTGCTTATATGCTCCCATTTCCTCAAGGGAAGCAGGGCCTTTGTGTAGATGAGTATTTCCAGCATGCTGCACACAGTAGGTGCTTAATACTCACTTACATGGTTTGACGAGACAGGCATCAGTCACTACTCCCAAGTCTCTAAGGCTTCACACACACACACACACACACACTAAAAAAAAAATAGACTTAAAACTAAAGCAAGGAATATTATTTGTTATCATTAAAGTATTAAGATTATTTCTAACAATAGCTCTTTTGTTTTATTATTCCAAGGAGTCGCGTTCTCCTTTATTGTCCTTCCTGGTAAAATGCTATTTCCCTGGAACTAAAGCCGTGGCTTTATCTTAACCAGAGAATGTGTGTTTAGCGGCAGGTGTCATTAGGGGAAATGCATACGAATTGTCAGCGCTGTGTTCTTTAGCTCTTAAGCAATCTATATCCTGCTAAAATGTTTGTCTTTTTTCCCCTTCTCCTTCTGGCTGTCGCTCCAGGTCCCTTATTTCACGGGAGTCTCTGGAGTCAACGACTTTGAGCCTGACCGAAGGCAAGTCAGCGTTGAGCGTTAAACAGGAGTGGTCACACGGCTACAGGACTCTGCCTTCGCTGCCCTCGAACTCTGGCTCCCAGAACAGCAGTGAGCTCGGGGACATCCTGAACCTCCCTCCGGGATCCGCCTTGTCCAGTGGCAGCGTCTCTAACTCCTTACCGCCCTACCTTTTTGGCATGGAGAGCAGCCACTCTCCCTACCCCAGCCCCAGGCACTCCGCCAGGTCCCACTCCGCCCGCTCCAAGAAGCGGGCCCTGTCGCTGTCCCCACTCTCAGACGGCATGGGCATCGACTTCAACACTATCATCCGCACCTCGCCCACCTCCCTGGTCGCCTACATCAACAGCTCCAGGGCTTCCCCGGCCAACATGTCCCCGCAGCCTGAGGTCTACGGCCACTTCCTGGGTGTGCGTGGTAGCTGCATCCCCCAGCCCTGCTCTGTTCCTGGCAGCCAGAAGGGTCTGCTGGTGGCCAGCGGTGGGCTGGCCGTCCCAGTCTACCAGGAGGACGGTGTGGCCGAGTATGAGCGCATGCAGCAGCTGGAGCACGGTGGCCTCCAGCCCGACCTGGTGGGCAACATGGTGGTGCAGCATGGCCAGTCCAGCAGCCTGCTGAAGGCTGAGTGCCTGGACGACTTCCCTGGGGGCGGCCTGGACCTGCCTTCTGCACCCCCTCTTACTCCCTTGCCACCCCCACCCCAAGGCCCGCCACCGCCCTACCATGCCCACTCGCATCTTCACCACCAGGAGCTGGTCCCCCATGCCCAGCCGCTGTCCCTGGCCCAGGCGGCCCTGGAGGAGGATGGGGACATGGATGACCTCGGGGCCAAGCACTGCTGTCACTGGATAGACTGCAGCGCCCTGTACGACCAGCAGGAGGAGCTGGTGCGGCACATCGAGAAGGTCCACATCGACCAGCGCAAAGGAGAAGACTTCACCTGCTTCTGGGCAGGTTGTCCGCGCAGGTACAAGCCCTTCAACGCCCGCTACAAGCTGCTCATCCACATGCGAGTCCACTCCGGGGAGAAGCCCAACAAGTGCACGGTGAGTGTCCGGAGCCCGTGAGGCTGTGTCGGGGTGCGGTCCAGCTTGATGTCCATGCGTCTCTCCATCCTTCGCTTTCAAGTCCGGGACGCATTCTTCCCGGATGGAGTTTGGATGTCCATCTCTAGATGCCCGTGAGGTTTGCTCTAAGGAGGGGAGGGTTTCTCTATGTCTTAATGACTGCGGTGTAGCTCCTCTACGGAGGTGTAGGACCATCATGCCCTTGGCACATGACCGCTAAGTTAGCACACACTTTGTGTTTTTGAAATACATAATGACGTGGAAGAGTGGATATATCACACTACCACTGTGTGTTAACTCTCTTGTACAGCAAATATGTGATGATGCGCTCTTCTCTCCATGGACACCTGGCTTGGAGTACAATGACTCACCTGTTTAAACTCACCCCTGAGCAGCTCAGCCAGGGAGGATGTGGCCGTGCTTCCACACACTTACTTACACGATGCTTCTGGAGGTTGTCAGCTCAGCTAGGGACTGGTAGCCTGTGTGAAAACCCCCAGGGCAGACAATAGGAGAGCGTCTCCAGGAATCCTCCTCATTTTAAAGAGTTCTGTGGGAGTCAGCTAGAGAGCGTGGCTTCCATGTGCAGTAGACGTACGTGTGTTCAGTCATCCCTTCCTTTCCTCTAGGGTTGAGATCCTGGAAGCGAATCTGTTTCTTGGTCAGATTGACTAGTTTTGAGTAATGACTCTTAAGTGATTTCACAATAATTTTGTATCAAACAGAAACCCCCAGATTTACCAGGAAGCATCCCTTTCTGGGATTTGAAGACTGTTTTGCATAATCTTGGACATCTCCCTTACCTCTTGTGCTTTAAGGTAGTTTAGAAGAGATGGAGTATCTGCTTCTGAGTGACAGATCCGGCTCCCAACTCGAGTTAGAGAGGAGGAATAGCTTCTTCAGAGTGACACATGGTAGACCTCTCGGTACTCTCTGGATTTTGAACATTTTGGATCAACTGTGCAAATGCCATAAATTGTTTTGATAGTGCCTACTTAATTGGACTGTGGGTCCTGGAGTCCCTTCCTTCCACAGTATACCTCATGGTAAATTTTGATACCGTACACCTTACTCTATGGAGGATTCTGTGTTAGACAATTCCATTTACCCCATAGCCTCTTGTGAGCAGGGAAGACTTTCAGTTTCTGGAGTCAAATAGTCCAGCCCTCTAGTTCTGACTAATCCTTGCTGAAAATAGATTGCTGGGTTTAGCTTCACTGGAACAAACCGAATGGCATGAGTGATCATTAAAAAAAAAGAATTTTAATGGGTTTTTTTTTCATTGCAAATGTAATTTTTGTACAACAGAACTTCCCTGCCACTTTGCATGGTTTCTGGACTTTGCAAAGACACGGGACTTTGTGGGGTTGATGATTGCTAGAGTGTGTGGTGGTGATGAAAAAGAGAACTTTAGGGAAAGAACGCGCGGAGGGTTAGCTAGCAGACAGACCCCCTTAGAGCTTTCCATAGTCCTGTTCAGACTGGACGCGAGGCTGTGGTTTCTCTCCTTGACACACTGTCCAGTTCCAGGGGAATCTTGTCCAACTCTGGAATGTTAAAATGGATGAGCATATCCAGTCTGGCACCACAGTGTTGACTTGTTTGTGAGGGACGGCAGATCTAGCTGACCATGCGTGAAGTCGAATCTAGTCACTGTCTAGTTTTAAGAGGAAGACCCTAATTTTTGTTCTGAAGCTTGAGTACCAGGCACAGACAATATGACTTCTGATAGTGTTGACACTACTCTTTGTCACCTGCTTGATGTTTGGGCTGGAGGTGACCAGCGTGAATGACCTCGCTGTGGACATTGGCTGGTCCAGCAGTCCCTCGTTACAGATGCCTGAGGGCTTCTGCTTGTACTTCAGTGGAAATTCGCCCTCACTTTGAGGCCATTGAACCATCCTCAAACCCCTTATCACAGTCCCCTTGCCTCGCTGCCTGTGCAGCTTTTAAATCATTAAAAAGGCTTCATGCATTTTCTTAACACTAATCAAAAACAACCCACGACCTTCCCCTCGGTCATTACTCATAGCGACTCCACAGGACAGAGTGCATTTCCCCGTGGGGTTTCCAAGGCTATGCATCTTTACAGAAGCAGGCTGGGGGGTTGAACTGCTGATCCTTTGGTCAGCAGCAGTTTGCTTAACCATTGTGCCACTAAGACTCCTTTTGCACTAAATAAATCGAACTAACCCCACTGCTTTCTCGTGACGTTCCGATTCCTTGCAGTCCTTCATTCACACTCTTTGTGGCGGGAGGTTGCTTTATCTTCATCTGGTAGAGAAGCTGGTTGGTTTGCTCACCTCTGGTTAGCACAGCTCAACACTTAACATTTTGTGACACCAAGGCTGCTGCTTGCATGGGAGGAAACCAAAATAGAACCATATTCACCTATATGACTTACTTCTACATTCAACTTAAAGACACAAATCCAAATTTCATTTGTGTTCTCAAGTTGAAGCTTGTATATAACATGTCTCTTGTGGACACACATCAGAAAATAAGGTATGTTTATGTACCTCTTGCAAACCAATCGATGCTCTTGGACCTGGACACAAAGACCTGTGAAAACTGACATTTGTCATTTCTCACTGCTCTCACAGCTGTTGCTCATTGATTCAAAACTCAAGGTGTTTGCCAAGAAAAGTGGCCACTTTCCTCTTTTAAAAGATGTCAAATGATGTTCTGGCTTTTGTGACTGAACATTTTGTGTCACGTGCTGCAGAGGTTGGGCCCACTTTAAGTTCTAAGGCCTGGTCTGTGTTTCTTCTGTTGTTATTGTTGTGAAGTGCTGTTGAGTTGGTTCTGAAACATGGCAAGGCCGTTTGCAGCAGAACGAAGCACTGTTCCCGTCTGCACCATCTCCTCAGGCAGTCTCTGTTTGAGCTCGCTGTGGTAGCTACTGAGGCAGTCCATGTGGTTGAAGGTCATTCTCTTTTTCACCGGCCCTCTTCTTACCAAGGGTGGTGTTTGTCTGCAGAGACTGGTCCCTTCTGTAGCATGTGGAGAGCATCTCGCTGTCCTTAGTTCTGCGGGACGTGCTGCTGGCTGTGCTTTTGTCATACCTGTGTTTAATTTACCGTGCGCGCTAGTTACAGTGAGTCATCATTTTCGGTTACTGAGTTTATTGACCCAAGAAAGATTTAATGACCCAGTTTTGTTTGGTGACCATGGCTACAAGGAGCACAATGAGCTTCTGAAAGTCTTGGCTGGAGGAGGCGTGCAGTTGTGCTGCCTGGTGACAGCCGCTTACAGTCAGGCTCCCACCAGTGCCCTTCCCCAACGAGAAATTCCATCTCATGCATGGGAGAGCACGTGTCTGGAATCGCAGACGGTAACTCCGTGGCCTTCCCCAGAACTCGGGAGTCCAGGCGGCAGCGAAGGGGAAGGAGTGTTACTAGATTATCGGTTAACTTACTGGAAGAACAGACTGCTTGCTTGCTTCCTTTCCCACCCAAACCACTCCACCCGTCTGCAGGTCTCATTCTTGTTGCTTCTGTAGAAAACCAGACTAACTGGTCTCTTGCCAGGTCTGGCTTCGATTATAGACAAGTGAGTAGTGGAAGCCCTCCCAAAGCCTGCAGCTCGTCCAGAGCCCCACTGTGACAGGGTCCTTAAGGGGACCCACCAGCGTCCACTCACTGCCCTCTGTTCCTAGAACAGGGTCCAGGTGTCAGGCCATCCTGCTGGGAACTTCTGGGCTTGCCGGATGGTCTTGCCAGCCTTGGTCCATCGTAGTGTCTGCCATCCCAGGTCTCCTGTTACTGATTGTCACGGTGGTGTGGACTCAGGGTCCCTTACGTACACTATGATGAAACGCAATCACTGTGTGGTCCTGCACATCTCGAGCACCATTGTTTTATCCGTCTCATAGAGGGGCTCTCTCCTTTTTATTGACCTTCTCATTTTCCCAACATGATGTCCTTTCCCAGTGATTGGTCTTTCTTGATTACTGAAATGAGATGAAATCTTCCCTCCTTGCTTTTAGGGGCCATTTTTACTTCCTCGAAGACTGAGTTACATATGCTGAATTCTAGTAAGATTTCCTAAGATGATAAAGTTCTGAATTCTCAAATGAGAAAGAAGCATGAAATCTTTATGTTGGACACTCCTTCTCCACTTTTTGTCTCCTGATCTTAAAAGGACAGTATCAACCCCACAGATGGGCAGTAATCATCCTTCACAGTATCTGTAGCAGTTCTTCCAACAGGAGTATTTTTACAGTGTTAACTGTTACTAGCTTCTTTTAAGCAGGTTCTTTTGAAACAAACTTGCATTGACCGATGTACAGCAGACTGAACCACCTCTTGATGTTGTACCATCTCCACATTCACTGCTGTGTCAAGTCCATTGTGGGAGCTGCTGTGTCAGCTGTCTTGTTGAGGGTTGTTTTCTTTTTTAAAAAACATGTATTCTTTTAAGTAATGATTTTTTAAATGCAACACATGTATTTTTTACAGCATATTTTTTTCCATTTAATTTACCCCTATTCATTTATTGTTGCACCTTTTCCTCTCTGCCCACCCTCCTTCCCAGTTCCTTTTTCTCTTCATCAGCAAACAAATGGATAGAGCAGCTCTGGTATATTCACACAATGGAATACTATGCTGCATTGAAAAACAAGGAATTCATGAAATATTATACAAAATGGGTGACCTGGAGGACATTATGCTGAGTGAAATATCTCAGTCACAAAAGGAGAGACCTGCATAGTGCCTGCATAGTGCCACTGTTGTAAAATGGGACTGACATTGAGAGTGGGGAGAGACTGAGAAAGAGGGGATAACTAATGTTTACTGCATTGAAACAGATGAGGGAGAGAACGGTTTATAAGAATTATAGGACTAGGTATTATTTTTATGACAAGATTACAGAAAAAGAAATGATTAGTAAAGTGGACTTGGGGGGGGGAGGATTGTATAATGAAAGAATTTTTTTTTTTCCAAAGAGGGTTGTTTTCTTGATCCTGTACTTCACCA